CCCCCCCCCCCCCCCCCCGCTCGCCAACACCCAACTTGAGCCCCCTACATTTTGCAACTTGGCTCCGCCGCCGCCCACCGCACCGCTCTTCCCGAAGTTCGCGCTCGCCAAATCGCACGTACAAACGGGGTGCTCGAGTATAGCGTAACGCTGTTTTGCCAACTTTTTAGATGATGCTCCCTCACCTTAAGGTGATTCGTCAAGCTCAAAAGAAGTAATGGAACTGGCATGCGACATATCGCATCGATTAGGTCAAAAACCTCGGAAGATTTTGAATGTTCAGCAAAAAAAAAGGAGGATAGCCCCTGAGATACACATTTTTGCAGTTTCACCGTCGAAATGGATGTGTTCATGCTAAATAATACTATGTGGTAATGAATGAAATCAAGAGGAGTTATGCGCATAAGATTCGAGCTCTGCTTAGCTCTTTTTTATTTATTTATTCGGACATACTTCTTTTCCGCATTTTTTATAGTCCAAATATATACATATTTAAATCAAAGAGAACTACTTCCATCACGACCTGGGCCTCGATACCTATGAAACGCACGCATGACAAGGCCCACGTCCTGATGGAAGTAGTTCTCTTTGATTTAAATACCTCCAAATAATTAACACCTCCACGTGGAAAGAAACCAAAATTACCGCAAATAATGATGATGGAAGAACATTAGGTGACGGTGACATCATGGACAGGTAAGCACTCATCCAAATGAACACAGTCTCATGAGCACTGATCCAAATGCGAGATCAGTTTTCATGAGAACAGAGCTGATTAAGACTGATATCATTATCAATGTCAACCTTTTTTGATACCGATTTAAGACTCAATTGGCGCTGACATCAGCATAAGATGGCTCCAAACGGAATTTCGACTGTGAAATTGCAAAAGTGCGTACTGCTATTTGCTACACTGCAAATCTCCTGTCATAATTTACTTTTTTGATGGAAAAATATTCAACATCGTTTCGTGAAAGTTTTCCTGATTTTTCCTCTTTGCATGAAGAATGTTCTGTGGTAGTTCCGCTAAAGAGTGTTTGTGCTTGTCCTCCTTTGATAAAGTAAAATAAGAGCGGAGACATGAAAACACCCCAAACTATAAAGGTATTTTTGCAGTTCCACCGTCGAAACACAATTTTCATGTTGGTGCATGTTTGTTTGCGCTGCTATAGTTCGGGGTTTTTTTTCGAGAGTATGTCATCAATGGTTGTTGAGGAAGCCAAAGATTTTGAAAAGAAGTTGATGAGAGTAAAAGTTGGACCATTTTCATATAGAAAATCTTCAAAATCGATAATGAAACTTCCAAACCACGTATCTCGGTTTGAAACGTTGCAGACTTCCTGTCACACTTTATATTACTTTAAAGTGAAAAACTACTCAACGTAAAATTTTAAAAATTTCCATGTTATTTCTTCTCTGTGCGAAGACAAGACTATGAAAACTTCAAGGAAAGATGTTGATTTCATCTCTTTTAAAACAATATAATGGAATTTGAGATTTTAAAACACTGCAAACGAGGTAAGTGCGGTTTGGCAGTTTCACCATCAATATGTGCCAAGAAGAATTCCATTGCACGGAACAGGTATTCATTGAAAGGTTTTTCTTAGGAAACCAAAAATGTATTTTTCCTAAAAGAATTCAGTTTGGCCTGATTATAATCCCTCCATTCAGCGTATACATGCCATGGGGGACGAAGCACACAAGATTTGCGTATTTCATAGTTCTTTTAGCGTAAATACTCGTAATTCATATTATTAATAATTCTCAAAACGACACTCTTATCGATCGAAGGGAAAATTTTCCTCATTTTCCAAAAAATCCGACGGAACGGAAATGTTCTTGTTATTGTCGAATTTTTCACGTGAAATCTTAAAAAAAATTGGTTGAAGAGTTGAGAGTTTCACCTCAATCTCAAGAGCAAGGTACTGACGACTAACGTTTATCAAGTTTTCACACGTTTTACGAATTTCTATATTCGACTCCAGTGTGAAACTGACAAATTTTTCTATGTCCGTGAAACTATACAAGATCCATGCCAACAGTATTTGCAATGAATATTCTCTAACTCTTAATGCAGCTTGCAACAACGTTTTCCGTGTCCGCGCAAATTACATTTCGCCTTCAAAGCAGAGTGATACCGCGCTCTTCGTCCAGAAGCAGTAATAATTGCATGTAGCAATTTTGCGTCCCTCTTTCCTTGCTTTAATCATCAAATGGTCGTAAAAAGACGAAGTGCCACCACTTCTGTCGTGATAGCGAAGAGAGCAGTAAGTGCATGTTGGGGTGAACCTCGAGACCCATAAAAGTATGTGCTAACCATGGCTCATGCAAAAATGATCTTACTGCTCTCTTCGCTATTACGCCAGACTTGTTTGCTTGGAAACTGTTAAAGCTGGAAAAATTCCATAGTTGACTGTATAAATATCGTGTTCTCAGCTACTTATCCGACTTTTTTTTGATCGGTTTTCTAGAAATTTTTGTAATCTCCTCAAAATTGGCTTTGCACTTTACCCTCTTCGTATGTTATTTAGAAAAACGTAGCGTGGATCAGTTTGGGCGACAGTTTAGGAGAAAACAAGAGTATTCACATTGAATAGGAAAAAGCGTGGCCACCAGATCTTCCCGCCTTTTTTTAGCCAATCAGACACTCGATGACCGCACTCTTTCACTTCTCATGGGAAATCAAGACCATATCATTTTTCGAATTCAGCTAATGTGTCAGCAAAAACATGTTCACGACTAACTTCTTGAGGATTTGGTGTTTCACTTGAATTATAATGCGTTTCCACTTACTCCAAAAAACACCAAAGCTCTTGATTTTTGAAATTTCAATTTTTTCCTACTCGGATCGATGTTTTTGACTGTTCCGTCAGCTCTCCGGTTAATGTAATGCATCAATGAAATTGTCTTTATCTACAGCAAGACGAGTATCTGCTTTTAAACAATGCGTGAAGTATCAACGTGTTTTGAAGGCGAAATGTGATTTTTAAGGACTGACGTCTCGCGCTAACATGAAATGAGAAGTAGCTATATGCCGGTGATGATTTATTAGCATATCACGCTTAGAAGGTTGAAAATGTAACTTATTTGTTAATACACTATGCGCACCTGTAGTACGATCTTCAGTGAAATTATTCTCAAAAAATTTTCTCCTCGAAATCTACTAATCATCGACGATACTACCGGACCACGTATCTCGGTTTGCAACGTTATGACTTCCTGTCATATTTAATTTATTTAACGGAAACAACTCAACAATTCAACATCAAATATTGAAAACTTTCGTGATGTTTCTTCTCTGTGCGAAGAAAATTCTGAGAAAACTTCTTAGGAAAGATGTTGATTTAATCTCTGTTAAAAAATAAAATGGAAGCAGAGATTTTAAAATACCGCAAGGAGATAGTGTCATGCTATGGGAGAACGCTGTATGAACATTCGAGAGTTGCCAAATTTCCTTCGATAAAATGTTCAATTTTTAGGAAAGCTATGAATGTTTTTCCTTTAAATTTTCAGAAACTTTAGGTAAAATTGCGAACTAAATTATCTGAAAAATTGGAAGGAAAATATTCATTAATTTACTAGGAAATTTGTGTTTTATCAAACGAAATTTGGCAACGCCTGATGGTTCATACGGCGTTTTTCCTTAGCACAGCAAAATACGCAGTCTGGTAGTTTAACCGTTGATATGCTTTAAAAAAGGCTTAGAGTATTTTATTTATTGAAGATAATTTACCTTAAATAACACCCCAGAGCCAAGACTTAGACTTCATTTTATTTTTATATGGGTGAGAGCAAAACATGCAGAGGAAACAATTCACAATCATACGTTTGGTTTAACTATGGTTTTTATTTACATGAAACATATAAAACAAATTTTTACACTTCACATTAATTAGCGCAGTATTTATAAGCAACGATCTAACTATGGACGCCTCTACTCGCATAGAAATGGAAGATAATAAATATTTACGGCGTGCATGCGTAAGTAGTAAGAAAATGATGCATTGAGAACTATTAGATAATTCCCTTATCAGTAACGAAAATACTTTGTGAGAGATCCGAAAAAGTAAGTCATGAAGTCGCTAGGGAAACAACTTCATAACATATTTATTTTAATTAAATAGCGCTATGCTAAAAATACCGTCATCTCCCCCTTCCAGAGTTATGATGATATCCGTGAACAGCTTTCTATATTGGCATCAACATCGAAAAGCTACAAAAATGGATCATGGTCGTTCTAGCATAGCGCAATATCAGCGAAATTCAAACGCAATATGTATATGCATACGTAAATATATATGCATCATAATATCAATTTTGGCGGAAGAAATTTTGGCGTATCGATCACTTAGGCCAATAGAAAAGTCGCATTAGATGTGCTTAAATTGGTTTTTCCCCTATGCCTTTCTAGTCAATTTCTGCGAAATTTTTTGTAACGAGAATAAAATCAATGTCTTCATTTTTGGCTGTAGACGTGCTTTAAAGTATTCGAATATTGGTGGAAAAGGCAATTTTTTCTGTGTTTTCTTTAAGAGTGTTTATGAATCTTCAAAATTTGATAACTTATTTAGTGTAGGTAAATTTGATCTGAAACTGTAAAAGAAGTAACGGCCACATTAAGCAGAAATATGGACTTTTTTATAGCTTCTGCTTCTTACAATTAAGTTACGAAAAATATAGTCTATAATATTACCGAGATTATTAAAATTTTGACGAGGTTCTCTAATCTTGAAGTTGTTTCTTATTTTTCTCTCTCACTACTACAAAGAGACTAGCTGCTGAGAGAGAACCTATAGCTTCAAAAAAGTGACGGGCTAGTTTTACTACTATGGATATGTGTTGTTTTGCACATTTTAAGCCAAGGAAGATTGAACAATTTAAAAATCGAGGATGTCTAAAACAATTGAGAAAAACACGATTTTGGATCGGAAAAGCACATATTTGGAAGCTGACATATCCCTTTTAGAGAATAAACTGATATCTTTGCAGCAAATCATGAGTTTGACATTCGACTTTAAAGATTGTTTTCAGTGCACTAGGTGTCGCTTGGATTCCTTTTGCCTGAACTTCCTATCTCCTACTTGACAAACATTTTAGCGTCTGTCGTTTCTCCAAGATCTGCAACTAACAGTCAAATCTGTTGCCATGAGTGGATCAACTACCGATGGATGTATAAAGTCGAAAAACGCGTAGGTGTCTCCGATTGAGATGTTGGAAATCTTCACGCACCCATTTTTTAAAAGAAACCAAACCATCAGGTGCAGTTTTTGCTATTTCGAGAAACACGCGTGTTGTAAGTTTCGAAATTACATGAATCCTTATGGCGGAAAGAAAGTTCAAACTGACTTTTTGATGCTTAAAAATTGGAATTTGGGTACAGATTTTTCACAAAACATACTATAAGAGTAACAGTGCTTGAAATCATTTATACCTCAATTTTTCAAAAAACTGCACTTGTGCGTCTTATCCTCCAAGCCCCTCATGCGTCAGTTAAATTACTCGTATAAATGAGATATAATCGAATATTTTTATACGATGCTGTGCAGAGACGCATTTTTCAACTTTATCCATCGATAAGCTACACGATTCTCTTACCGGCATGTGGCATTTAAGCTTTGGTTCGGTCATAAATTCAACGTAATTCACAAAATCCCGCCAGAGTCGCGGTTAGAGCGACCAAAATCCATGAGTGAGGAAGCTAGCTATTGAGAGAATCATCATGAGCGCTGGCCGCGGAAAAGTCGTAAAACTCGAAATGCGAGCGAGCGTAAGTAAACCATTACTTGGATCGGAATAAGGGATACTTGATAAGTCGATTACGATACATAAGGCCTATAAAGAAGATCACATTGCGCTTGCTGGAACTGCGGTTGCTCTAAGCTGCTCGGACACTTTGATGGTCTGATATTGTTATTACTATTGTTCTCGATGCTGTGTCTGCTCTCCGAGCCTTCTTTCGAGGAGCTCTTAGCTTCTTGCTGAGCTTTTTTGCTCCGTTTCCATTTCATTCGCCTGTTTTGGAACCAGATTTTAACCTGAAACAAACAAATCGGTAGCATTATTAGAACGCGAATGATATCTTATGAAAACACTCATGTTTTTAGCTCATATGAGACTGGAATACGGAACTCATCCTTTCGTAGAATATTTTCGTGGGAATGAACTACACATCGAAGCTGAAACTGCGAAAGTGCGCACCGCGTTAACGGGTTTTTCAAATCGTAGTACCGAACTTCTTTCTCGGTGATGTTTCCATTACTACAAAATAGCTTTGTATATTTAACCTCCACTGCAAGAAGAGACCTCACCTACAAAAAACACATAATTCACTTTTTGAAATCAGAGCAGTAGGGATCATTTTGCGATCATGTCGGTACAGGAGCACCCTAAAAATTCAAACCAAGTCGGATTCTGAGAGGTTTGAAGATTGCAGTTTAAAAAACGCAGTTCTAAGAAAAAGCTGTTTAAAATACTGATCCGCCATGTTCAGGGTAAAAACTCGCAGAATTGTGATACAAGATTACTCCATCTGAACTAAAATACTTAAAACTTATTTTTTAGGACACTAAAGCAAATTTTACACCGAAATCTCATGAATCCAATTTTTTACACAATTTTACTAAAAATTATCCGATAAAAAGTCGCCTCCGCTCCGTACACTGGAAAAAAAACACATTAGATCTAGAGTCCAGACTCTTGGAAACATTGACAAGGAAAAATACTCTTGATTCAATCAGATTATTGCTTGAATCAAAACGAAATCCACTTAAATTAAGAGGCTTGGTTCTTGATTTAAGCTAGATTCTGATTGAATCAAGAGTACTTTTTCTTGTCGATGTTTTTAAGAGTCTGGACTCTAGATCCAATGTGTTTTTTTTTCCAGTGTAGATTGAAATTTTTCTCTTCCTTGGACGGTCACACGTCGATGACCAAGCTGCAAAACCACGCATCTCCGTTTGTGACGTTGCACATTTCCCGTCATATTTTAGTTTTTCTTTGGAAAAACTATACGACGTAATTTCTTGAAGTATTCCTAAATTTTTCTCTCGGTCAGCAAAATGTTCTGTATAAATTTCAAGCTATAGAGTTGGCCTGTTCCTCTTCGAAAAAATGAAATAGAGGCGGAAATTTTGAAACATCACAATAGAAATACAAGGTCCCGAACTGTGACCAACGATATTCCGTAATTCCAGTAAAAATGAATTCGTACATATCCATTTTTTTGCTGCGTGTGATACCGAAAGAGAACCGCACCGCCGCTTGATTGTCGAAAGAGAAGGCTTCAACTTTCACCTATTCGATCGTAGATTGGACGGAGAGAGACAGGCGAGGGCAAGGGAGGGGGAGGGGCTAATCGAATTGTGAAACCGTATTTTTCTTCAGCGACGAGGTGGTGTGCGGTGAGGGAGGCGGGGTGAAAGAAAGCGCGTCGGAAAACGAGGAGATGATGATCAGGGAGCGGAATCGTAGGGGGCGCGAGAAAACGATTTCCACCTCCACGACCAATGGAACGTCGATGCTAGACGCGGGGAGGGGGTAGCCGTGAGGGGAAAGACCGGTGAAGAAACTAATCTGGATACTACGTCGATAGGGCGCGTGTAAGGTTCGGGGCAGGTTTTGCGGTGATTACGGCACGCGGAGAGCACGGGGGGGCGGGGGGACCCGAGGGACGGGGGGGCTATATTTTATTCTAGTAGGGAGCCGAGAGTATCAGGGATCCGGTCGGGTAAAAAACGGTTTTGTTGGTATTTGTGAGCGCCCCGAGAACCCAAGTTCGGAGATCACGGTTGTAGTTCCGCTTCGCTTCGAATCGATTTTTGGGGCGCGCGAAATTTTTTTAGGTTAGATTCGGCGGAGCAAATGAACGAACTTTTATTACGTCCTGAGGCTCCACCATAAAAATGAGACAAACGAGACCAACACAACATGCATGGAATTAAAGCACGAGAAAGGATGCGCGTTGACAACGGCGCAGTGATACAACTATTCGTGCTCGACGGATGTCCGTGTTGCGTCTGCAAAATTGAAGGCGCGATGCGATTGAGACGTGAACTCGCATTTCGCAATTCCCCGTTTTATGCTGTTAGTGAGGCGTCTCTCAGATTCGAAATAAAACTTAAATAACGGCTCTCCAGTCTTCGGTTGTGTTGCATCAATTCGGGGAAAAAAAAAAAAAAAAAAAAAAAAAAAAAAAACGCCGTGTCAATTGTTACACAGTGGACCACTAGACAAGGTCTGACTCTGAAGTAGAGGAAAACGTCACATGTTTTCTCTTCAAAATCTTATATAAAGAAAAATTCACACAACCCCTTTTGAAATCAACCCCTGAACGAGATATTAGCAGGTCTTTTTAACACAGATCAAATTAAGGTTCGATTATACATATGACGTCATTTTTATTTTTGCCATTTAACCAATGTTGATGGAAAACGCATATATCTTCTTCAGGAGTTGAGTTTCAGACTTCCTGTTGTGTGATTTGTTTTCTTTGTGAAATTTTGAAGAGGAAACACGCAGCGTGGTGCTTTAATTCATACCTTGTGGAAAGGCCCATTGTAGGGAAGGCTGAATAGAAACGGTACACTACATATGAAAACTATGGTGGATGAAGCGGTAGGTGTCCACTTGAAATAGATAAAATGATAAATTTTTCAATTCACAAACTTAATGATTGATTTAATTGACGGGATAGGTCCGCAACCATGTATCTCGCTTGCGGTGTTTGAAAATTTTGGCTCCTATTTTATTTTTTTAAATGCGAACAAATCGACATCATTCCTTGCACTTTCCGCAGAAATTTCCTTGCACAGAGAAACATTATCACGGCAGTCTTTAAAAATTGACGTCGAGTAGCATTCCATTTAAAAAAAAAAAATATGACAGGAAGTTTGCAATATCGCAACCTAGATACGTGGTTTCGGACTTACACCGTCGATATGTTCAGACGCACGGTGAACATTTCTTATTAAGAAATGTTCTCGCTGTGAGACATCTACGCTTCGCCGTCTGGCAGAAAATTAGGCTTTGGGCATCAAGCTTAGAGCAGAAGCACTATAGTGTGAGAGAAACCCTTCTTTGTCGAATCTCTAGCAAAAGTGTATATAAATTATTTGGGTTTTATAACATCCAATCGCAAGTTTCTTTCGTAAAATTTTATGTGAGAAAACCTCCAAAACCTTACAAATCGTCGCTCCGCTGACGTAAGGACATGTCTCGATCCCTGCATGAGCCCCAGAAAACATATATTTACACAGGGAATAGAGCTCACGTGCGGATATTGAGATACGCCCCTAGGCCAGAAGAGCAGGGAAATATAGTGCGGTTTTGGTGAGGTAAACATGTACATGAAAATAAAATAAACAAGTAGATAAACACAATCACATATCAACTGTGAAAGTCCGCAACGATTTATCTCGATTTTTGGAGATTTTGAGTTAGCTGTAGAAAGGAATTGCAATAGATGCTTTCTACCTGCTATCAAGATATTTTAGTCGAAAAAAAATCTGGAACTCATCTAAGCAAAATTGAAGGTGCGATGGCGTGAGGCGTGAACTCGCAATTATTCGATCTATATGCTGTTAGTGAGGCGTCGCTCAAATTCGGGAACAATGTTAAAAAACTATACCCAATTACGCCTTTCCTATCTTTAACTGTGTTGCTCACGTCGTTCTTGAGGATACCATAAAAGTAAGACAAACGGAACCAACACAACATGGAAATAGAGCACGGGAAAGCACGCGCGTTGATGACGGCGCAGTGATACAACTATACGTACTCGACGGATGTCCGTGTTGCGTCTGCAAAATTGAAGGCGCGATGGCGCGAGGCGTGAACTCACAATTCCCCACTCTATGACATGTTGTTAGTGAATCGTCATTAAGGTTCGGAAGAAAGTTTAAATAACGAGGCCCGATTACGTCTTTAGCTGTGTTGCTTACGTAGTCCTTGAAGTACCACTACAAATTTTTTACGACAATTTTTTACGAAGCAGTCCGAGACAATGGTAACTAAAGAAAAAAAGAAGGAAAATGGGGGAAAAGGCTAAAATACAAGTATAAACCACTCGACACGTTCCGACTCAAAACTGAATCATTTTCAGTCAGAATAATTTACTAAAAATTGAAAAACATCGATGAAAGAACCTGAGACCTATTTTTCCATCAAAATTTTGTAATTTTTATTATACTATTCCAACTGAAATTGACTCAGATTTGAGTCGAAACGTCTCGGTTGTTTCATTGTTGTATTTTAGCTTTGTTTCCCATTTTCCTCCTTGTTTTTCTCTTGTTATGGGACAAACAGAGCATGGAACACAACATGGAAATTTCACCATCTCAGGTTTATTCTTTCTTTGATTTTCCTGAGAACGGGGATCGTGAGGCAATGGTCCTCCTCGCTCCATGGAACCAATAGACCACTAGACAAGGTACGAATTTAAGCGATCTGATACATGTTTCTGAACCAGAATTTCACGTGGAAAACGATTCACACAACGAAAATTACGGAAACCAACTCTTAACGAAGATATTAACGTTTTTATTTCACATTGGTTACGAGGAATTTGAACTGCCCGCTCACAAGAAACTCATAACTCTACGTGAGTCAAATCGCCCACTACAACGGTTTCAGCAAGCTTCTCAATCGAGCAATGTTCATTTCCCATCATGTGTTGTTCAAACTATTGGCAATTTGCTATAACTGAGCCAAAGCGTCAAGATTAAGGTTGCCAGATTTTTATATCGCAGAGACTGTCATGATAACGTTTAGCGCGCGATGTGAATCACGTAGAGCATTGTGTTTTCATGAGCGGGTGGTTTGAATTCACGCATTAAGAATCATTAAATATCTTCGTAAGGAGTTAATTTCGGTAATTTTCGTTGTGTGCATCGTGTTTTACGTACAATTTTGGTTAAGAAACATGTATCAGAATGCTGAAATTCGTACCTTATCTAGTGGTCCATTATGGTCATCACGTCTCGACGAGCGTAAAATCAGGAGCAACCATTCGCTCTATCTTAAAATTTTTAATTATAACTAGATTCCAATTATCAAGTACTTTCTCAAATCTACTCAGCTCGTAATCATTTATCAAAATTAGCACTCTGATAAAAAATATTTGTGTTCTTGTGTTACTTTTCGTTAATATAGGAAGTGAAATACAAGTCAACACAAATTTTGTGTTGATTTTGGTGCAGTTTGCAGGGAATTTAGCGCAGAAGACAGTGGAGATACTAATAGGAAAACGCATTCCTCCGATTGCAACGTTGGCATTCACCACTCTTTTTTTTATTAAATTTCTTTTTTCTCTTGAAATTTTCAACCGAAGGACAGGGTTTTCTTGTGTTTTACTTCCCATATCAACAAAACTTTTGTGTTGAAATTCCTCTCTATGTAGCGGATAACCATTTTCTGGGACAAAAGGTAGGGACAAATGCATGTACAAACGTGCTCATTGGGGGAAAAAACACATTGGATCTAGAGTCCAGACTCTTGAAAACATTGACAAGAAAATATACTCTTGATTCAATCAGATTTAAGCTTAAATCAAATGGAAATCCGCTCAAATTAAGAGGCTTGGTTCTTGATTTCAGCAAAAATCCGATTGAATCAAGAGTATTTTTTCTTGTCGATGTTTTTAAGAGTCTGGACTCTAGATCCAATGTGTTTTTTTCCAGTGCTCTCCGAAGAATTCAAAATCATAGGAACAATCGATTATTTACAAGAGGCAACGTCATGTCTAAAGCCAATGCCTGTAATCACTGACTGCCTTTGATATGACTTAGGTACATTTGTCACCGGCCAAAATTCACGTAGATTTTTGACGGTTGAATCCCGAGTTCTTGGCACTTGCAAGCCTTTCCCCGAGTACACCTAATCATGATAAAATGTGCCAAAATCTCCAATTCAATCCGTTTTTTGGTGCGGAAGAAGGGAAAGACGGCGAATAAACCAAAATTAAATCAGATAAAGTAGCGTGAAATGAACGGAGCGCGGAGGACCGAGAGAGTGAGCTCGTGGAATCGCTCCCATTTAATTCATCCTAATGTTACGAGCGGAAAATGAAGCCTCATAAATAATGTATATTCCGTTCCGGGGAGCGCGGCGAAAATGCGCTTTGCGGGTTGCGTTTAAGCGCGGCGCTCGGAGATTAAATAAAACGAGCGGGAACCCAGCAATCGAGGTAAATTGCTATTCCATTCAATTTGCTCGAGTAAAACACGGGCACCAATGGTGATTCGCATTTGAGCACCAACAATCAAGAGGAGAAGTTCTTTCGACCGGGCTCCGGAGCTCCCTGCCAAGATCGGGAAAGCTCCCTCCTTGATTATTTCGCCGTAAAAATTCACCACGGACCCTCTCCTATTTGCTCTCGTCATACTGCCAATATACCGCAAGGTTGACGTTACCTTTATTAATGGGTCAGTCCTCCACGTCACAGATTTTTGGTTTGATGGCGAAGCTTAGACGTTGGCAAAATAGATCGCGTTCAGCAGAAAGGAAACAAGCTACATCAGCTGAAAAAAATAATATGCTGTTTTAGCATCTAGGATGTCGAAAATGTGTCTGGTGATTCCAAGATACTGCCTTTACTGCCCTCGCCGTTAACTTCACATCCTGTGAATGCAAATTCAACTGCGTGGTCAATCAAGGCAGCATGTTAGGATCACCAGACACATTTTTGACATCGTACGTGCTAAAACAGCATACCATTTTTCAGTGTATTGTCAAATTTAACTGGGCAATATAATTTTTCACAAGAGGCCGTTCGAGCAGATTTCTTTGAAAATGTTAAGGAATTTGCTTCGTACTACGCAGAAAATTCACTTATATTTTGCACACAAATCCGCACAATCTTTTTCCTGTGAAAAATTAAATTACACAATTAAATTTTGCAAAAGCTGATGTTGCTTGGTTCCTTTCTATTAAACGCGGTCCAAATGTGACCGATCCAAGCACTATTTTTTACACTCAGTCCTAGAGTCCCTTTATAGGTAAGGCGAGCTGAGACAACGCGGCTTGTGGATGTCACAGTCACAAACGGGAATAAAGATTAGGTACGCAAATCGGACGTTTACTGTAATCTTCGATCAACCCATTACCGAATTCCTGTCTCCGATCCCACTCTCATTTCATTTGTTCCTTGCCGTACCTCCTATTCCCCGGTCCATTCCAGTTTATAATATTTGCAATTGGTGAAACTGTAATCTTTATTCCCGTTTGTGACATTATGAAGGCCTAAAATACGGGAACCAATCAAAAATGGATTCGCACTGTCTTTACACTCGGTATAAAGGGACTCTACTCAGTCCTAAGGAAATTCTATTTGTAGTTAGGTACGTGGAAAATATTCATCCTGGAAGGGAATATTCTTCCACCTCAGTCTCAGCAGTCAGTAATAAAGATAACTCTTTCCTAGTTGCTCAATTCAGTCCACGTGATTGTTAATGATGAGGCCAAGGTGGAGGTGTTCGTATTACCGAAGGATAAAGTCGAGAAATGCATATCTCCGATTGCGACGTTGTATATAAGTCGATGATTGCGTTTTACTCTTTTTCAAAATAAATCATTTAAGATTTTCTCTTGAAAATTTTCGTGTGAATTTTCTCCTTTCATTCAAAAATATTCACAGAGAATCGGTTGACACTTTGGTTAGTTTTCATTAAAAAAACTACACATAATTGGATGTTTTGAATTGTTGCAATAAAGATTTGTATACGAGTAATAAAGAATAATAACCAATGTGGACTGTTGCAAGATGTAAATCATGCCGAACAGCTACTTTTTAGATAGATGTAAAAGAAACGAAAAACAAACGAGAAACGATGCCAAAGCTGACTCGGCATTTTGCGCCTTCAATTCGGTGAGGTATGCCGCATGCGCTCCCAAGAGTCGGAATAGTGGTATTCAGCGCCTTACGACAATGCTAAAAGATTATTTAAAAAATCGGAACTAACCTGTGTTTCTGTCAGCATCAGACTAGTAGCCACTTCGAATCTTTTCGGCCTTGATAAGTATTTATTTTGATGAAATTGTTTTTCTAGTTCTAGGAGCTGCTGACTTGTGAAAGCTGTCCGTGGTCTCCTCGTTTTGCCCAAAAGCGCATGATGTGAGCCTGAAACAACGGAAGACAAATCATGAATTTTTTTTCATAAATTTTCCATTATGCACACAATTAGGTAAGAGCCTTTGGTACCGATGCGACGTTTTTGTTGAATTGTTTTCATGGCATAAATAAAATTATCCTATGATTTTGTTGAGGTAAATGGATGCAAGGGTGGATTTCAAAGTGAGCAGCCACGACCCTTCATCTTATTTTAAGTTCCGTAGCTTTTAATTTTGATAACCAAATTAGATTTCATGCCACGTAATAACATTTTGAACATATATGACATAATGAAAGTTCAAAAAATTGACATTCTTTAAGAATCTTCTCAAAAAAGAGCTGTAATGCTATAATTGCGTAAATCTTTTGAGATAACCATCCAATGCTGCGAAAATTTTGCATCGAGAGTATTGTTCTTGAGGCGCAAACTGGAGGTCATGGCAATGATTTTCAACGAGTATTATGCAATTTTACAAACAGATCTGTAAAAAAATGTTTCATTTCATTTGCTGTAGAACACACGCGTGCTTTCTTAAACAAAAAAAATAATAGGAAAAAGAATATGCAATGTTCAACCTTAAATGGCTTTATTTAGGGCTATCCATCGACTTCTAGCAAAAATGAAGGGTAATAATGCGATTAGCCTCTGATAAAAGTCTCTAAAAGGCTCCATGAAAACCTAAAACTTGCAGGCCAATCAGAAGTGGTACAGTTTTTCGATGCTAAAATGACTGAGAAAACGACCCTCTCCTTACGCCTTGATAAGAGCATTGGAGATTTTTTGAAAAACCCATTAAATGTCAGAAATTATCAATTAATTGATCGAAAATCGAGACGTTCTAAACTGTACTACAGATCCTCTTCAACTTGCATGGTGTCTAACTTTCTTTTCACGTGATGGAAATTCTGTCGTCTGTCGTGCTAAGTAAAAACGCCGCATGAACAATCGAATGTCGCCAAGTCTCCTTTGATAAAGTGTGTATTTTTGATGATGGTTTATTATATTTTTTCTAGAATTTCTCAGAAATTTTAGATAAAAGTGTGAATAAAAAACTCGAGAAACTGGAAGGAAAATATCCACAAGTTGCCCGGAAAAAACGTAGTTTGCCAGAGTGGATTCGGCAACGTCTGAAGGTTCATACCTACGGCGTTCTTCCTTAGCACGACAGAACAGAATACTACCATGCTAAGGTAGAACGCCGTATGAGCATTCGAGAGTTGCCAAATTTCGTTGGATAAAGCATGCATTTTTGACAACATTCATGCGCATTTTTCTTTGAAATTTTAAGATATTTTAGATAGAATTGCATAAAAAATTGTCTAAAAACTTCGGGGGAAAATGTTCACAAGTTTCACAGTAAATTCGGTTATTATCGAAGGAAACTTGGCAACGTCTGAAGGCTCATACGGCGTTTTTCCTCAGCACGGCAGAATAGGACCCAAAGTGGCCCTCACTACACAGGCGCGAAGCTCGCTCAAGGGTCGAAACGCAAAGTGGCCAGAGGGTGGCACCAACACATAAACGCGATACTTCTGCTACAATTAAAGGTGCCAATTAGCCGCCAAATCAGGGGCAGAGGGGAGGGCAAGTGCTCGCGGAGCCAGTAAATCAAACAGCGGGAACAGATAGCCGGACGGCGGACGGGGTAAAAAAGAGACAGAACGGGTGACATTTGTCTCGGCGGATAATTAGAGGATCCTCCGAAACTCCGCGTCGAGCAAATAAAACGACCCCGGCCTATGAATAGTTTAATCGGCACGAGTATTCATTTAACAAAAAGTGGCCCGACCGAGAGGGTGCTAATATGAAAGGACAACATCTTCCAAATGGCCCTGTTTGTCGCCCCTCTGCCTCCGGCCCAACCACCCCTCCCCCGGCCTGGGGGTCTTTGTCATGCTAATTTAATTTACACCCAGGAATCGATCACACTACACTCAGCGGGGGCTATCCTCATACGTGCCCTTTGAGTCGCACACCGGTCCCGAATACAACGCTAATTGGACTGCATTTTGCAATTTGGAGCTATGAATTCTGACTCATCTAAAAAAAACACTTATGTGCGTAGGGAAACTAATGGCAAATACGTAGTTTTTAAACCGGACCGAAATTTATAGTTCTTAACTGCAAAATGTAGTCCAATTTGGATGTGTCCAAGCTCAAATGAGGGGCTTGGAGGAGAGGGCGCATAAGTGCAGTTTTTGCTTTTTCGAGAGATACGTATTTGAAGTTTCGAAATAACTTTGATCTTTTTGGCGGGAAAAAGGTCAAACTCAATTTTTGACTCTTAAAAATTGAAATTTGGGAGGGAATTTCTCACAGGATATGCATTAAGACTATTTTTATCTGAAGTCATTAGAATCTCAATTTTCGAAAACTGCATGTACGTATATCGACCTGATTACGGGCGTTTTTCTACATCAGTCAAGTTCAGCACTCGACAAAATAGGTGATCTGCGTACCCTAATAAGAGCACTCCATTTGCGATTAATTACACGATCAGGCTACTCTACTATGCCAAAGAAAAACGTCTTATGAGCCTTCAGGCGTTACAAAATCTCCTATGATAAAATACGAATTTCTTCTGTACGAATCTGAAAATACGAATCTGATAAGCTTATGAGTATTTTTCCTCCAGTTTTACAACAAATTTTGCTCGCAATTTCACCTACATTGCCTGAAAATTTCAAGGAAAAATAACAATAACTTTCCTTAAAAATAAACATTTTATCGAAGGAATTTGGCGAAGCCTGAAGACCCATACGGCGTTTTTCCTCAGCACGGCAGTATACTGACCTATCGACAAAAATTGTTCAGAATTTGAGCAATGCGACCCCATGTGCGGCGGTCCCTTCGGCTGGTTCGCTAAGCGGCAAAGCCACATTCTTGGTTAACGCTGCACTGCCCGCGAGCATCAACAATCCAATTGCCCGTCACCGAAGCACCACGCACCTCCCCTTGTCATCGCGAGGATAAACAAACAGTTCACCCCCTCGCCTTATAGCCATCGCGTCACCAGCCTGGGCCTCCGTGCGCATATTTTTATCGTCGCTCCTTGTTAAGAAAATAAGTTGTATTTAGTCTACTCTCAGTTGCGTTTATCTGATTTGTCAATATTAGATTATTTTTAGGAGCTCGGTATGGTGTAAAATGTCAGCGAAGTTCTAGTTAGCTTTCAACCTGTTTTAAATAAGTGCAGGGTTCATCCCTGTTACACTGAATAAAAAAGTTACGAGCGATATGGACATACTGTCCGTCCCGGGCTCAGAGGCTGGGAGGTACGGGTGCTGGAGCCGTAGCTTCAATTGTTCCGGGTGCACTACACATTGTTCAACGGAACCAGTCAATTTACGTGCGTTGATGCGCCTTCAATTCCGTCTGATACTGTGCAATACTTCCGAGGCGGAATAGTTGCTCAGAGCGCCTGTAAGAGTATCGCTTCGACTTGATGGCAGAAGATCAGGATTGCTGCTGAGACTGAACACTCTAGCGTGTGTGCAGTTATACATTTCCTATGCGCCAGGGATCAAAGTTACTTTATCCTCAAGGAACGTGAGGTAATGGTGAACTTGATCTTTAAGGAGAAGTCTCTTTTGCCTCGCTTTATTAGATTGAATATAACAAGGATACCTAACGCAAGATCTCAAAATTATTTTGTCTTTCTTCTGTTCAAGGGTTCGTTAAAGTCATTTTAAGAACTTAGGTAATAGGTCTATAATAGCCTGCAATGACTGGCCTGCCATATGATTTGGTTAACAGAGGCTTGACTGCTGAAGCTTTTTTGTTTTTCAAAGAGATCCGCACAACCTTCGCTGGACATTTCACTAAAATAGACATTGCGTTTAAATACGATTGATTTCCAGTATTGAGAGGCTAGGGTACAAAAAAATTTACCACACTTGGACCGTGTTAAGCAGAAAGGAACTAAGCCACGTCAGCTATCGCCAGAAATTGGACAGTTTAATTTTTTACATGAAACCGGTTGTGCGGGTTTTTGTGCAAATTTCAGTGAATTTGCTGAATAGCACGAGGCGAATACCTTAAAATTTTCAACGAAATCCGCACAGACTTTCTCTTGTAAAAAATTAAATTGCCTTGTAAATTTTGGCAATAGCGAATGTGGCTTGGTTCCTTTCTGCTAAATGCGGTCCAGTTGCCAGACTAAGATTCCCTTCAAACATCGTAGCGAAAAGTAACGCAAAAAGTGAACATTTAAATGTATTTTACATTACATGACTGACAGCATCCTCATAATAGACATTAATCGTGACAAATAATAAAATGTTTAACTTACAATGTTTAACAATGTGGTCCAATTACCAGACTAAGATTCCCTTCAAACATTATGAAGCGAAAAGTAACGTAAAAAGTGAACATTTAAATGTAATTTACATTACATGACTGACAGCATCCTCATAATAGACATTAATTGTGACAAATTATAAAATGTTTAACTTATCAATAAGAGGGGCAGCGCCAAGTGAATCAATTTGTTAAGTAGGTAGGGTGTGAGGAGCAAAGAGGGTCCCTCTCTCAAAGGAATCCCACAAGTATTTACACGCGACATGTGTTTAACTGTCATTTCAATTGGAATCTTTCCTCCCCTTCTCCTTAATCATAGCCACATGATGTAATTCTCTCTCCCCTCCTTCATCTTCTCCTTGCTCTCCGCTCTTTTTCATTCCCTCTCTCTCCGCAATTTTTTACCATCACTGCCGTTGCATTTAGAGAGGTAAAATAATGTAAGATGGACTCTTTTAACTTAGAAACGCGACTTATTTTGACACGTCTTGCACAGTTACGTGGCAGATCGTCTTGCATCTTATTGGTAATATATTGCACATGGTACGAATTACAATGTCAAAAAACATGACGTCTACCTGACAAATATTTTCTGGCACAGCCGGTGGTATCAGGGTACCTACCTGATAATAATTGTATTTTAATGTGTTTTTATTGTTGCCTGATAAAAACGATTTATCGAAGTATAGTATCCTGCGGAGGTTAATTT